CGAGAGGCCTCGAGACGCCGTCGCTGGGCCGGTCTCAAACTTTCAGACGCGGGCATGTCATCAGCTGCCCGCTTGGTGTTATGCTTAGCAGCTGCTGCTAGGCCAGTGTACGCAACCGTCTGAAATGGACGCGAAGTGATCCGGGGATTTGCTGTAGATGTGAGTGTCCCCGTGTTTGCCAAAGGCAATGGCCCGAAGTTGCCTGGAAGAGGCGTCATAGCTGTGGCGGAAGCAGGCCATGGAAAGAACTGACCTCGCTTCTCATGAGATCCGCCATTCTGATATTGCTGTAGCGGCAGCTGTTGTGTTTGTTGCTGGAGCATGCTTTGTTGCTGCTGTGGAGATAAATTGTGGTATTGTTGGTAAAAAGGCTCAATACCACTGGTCGATTGCTGGAGCGTCGCTGGTTGTTGCTGGTTAGGATGAGTGTCATAGTGGGAATGCTCATATTGTATCAAGTGTGGAGCTGATAGAGGAGCAACAAGGGGAGGGGAAGGAAGAGTGAGCGCTGTCGGAGGTAGTGGTGGTGGCAGTGATGATGCTGAAGGCGACGGTGATGACGATAACTGTGTTAGTGGTGGTAGCAGGAAAGGTTGAAGATGAGAGGAAGGGTGCATAACTGGTAGAAGTTGTTGAGGGTGAAACTGATTATGAAGGAAAGCGGTCTGAAGCCACAGTTGATTTTCTTGAACCTGACGTTCTAAATTTTCCTGGGCACAATCCTGGGGGATTGTCATCAGCATGGTGCTCTCTGGCTCGAAATTATGGCTGCTGTGGTTATCGCCAGGGGTCAATAGATGATAAGGGTCGATGGCAGAGAGGGATATGGGCCCGAAATCAGCGCAGACTAGAGGCTCGGAGCCTGGTCTGCTTGGTTTGAGTGTATAATCTATTGGTTCAATAGAGAGTTGTGGTGATGGTGCTATTGGCGGCGTAGGAGAGGCGGCATCTGTTGTAGAGGGTGGTGTCAACGATGACGACGAGGGTAATGATGATGGGTTCAGGAGAGGGGAGCTGGTTAGCAATGCCGAGCTGCATGTCGTGGACTTGGCTGTGGTACTGGAGCTGCAGTGGTGCTCACGGCCTTCAAGATTCTTATTCTGGTCGGCTGGCTGCATCGGCAACGAGGCGAGGACACGGAGCAATTCGGGGCAAATGGATATGAGAGCGAGGACGTCCGGGAAGAGAGTGGACGTTCTGCAGGGTCTGTTAGCTTTGATTGGGCTGAAATTGACAAACATGCACTTTTCATCCAGACAAAACACGCACGCACGTTCACAAACAAACAAAACATTTGTTCAAACTCACATTTAAATAACTACTTTATAAATGTATGAATTGTTCAGCTCTTTGTCTGTATTGAGAAGCTGCTGTCGCTACGCTCGAGGAAAGCAGCGTTACTCGAAGCAGAAGAACGGGGTGGACAGAAGGATGGAGGGAAGTGAATAAAATTAACAAACTAAAAGAGAAAGTGAATAGTGAATGAGCAATGCAGTGGATGAGTGCTTTGGTGTCGTTTTTTTTTATCTTACATATATATCTCCCAGTCTTTCCGAGAGATGAAGAGAAGCATGAAGAGGGCAAAAGAGACAAAGATAATGAAAAGAGAAAAGGAAAAAAAAAAAAAAAAAAAAAAAGAGACAATTGATTTAAATATGTTGCGCAGTGAGGGAAGGATGCAAAAATGCATTGCATTTGGAAATAAGTGTAATAGCTCACTCCTGGATCATTTCACGCGTCATGCCCTTTTTAAAAATCTATCTCCTGAAAAACTGTTGTTTCTTCAAGACTGTCGATCACACCTCTGCCGAAAAACTAGTATAAAATAAGAAAAAAATGCAAGCAGACAGAGATACAAAAGATTTTGGCAAATATGCAAACTCAAAATTCATCATTATTACTGCTCATAGTCATCCAACGAACTTTTCAGAACAGGGTCTGTAAATTAAAAAAGAATAAAAAAGAATTAAAAAAGAATTAAAAAGAATTAAAAAAAAATTAAAAAAGAATTAAAAAGAATTAAAAAAGAATTAAAAAGAATTAAAAAAATTAAAAAAGCGTCTACCGGTCATGCCGCTATTTTGGCAACCTTATTTTTCTCAAATAGATTAATTTTTTTTTTCTTTTTTGTTATAGTTGATTTATTACGTCAACGTGTGTGTATTAATTCAACACCTCCACCAGAGGTCTACCGCTAATCGAATAAAGCAAAAACGAATACTTTTTTACAAAGTACAACAAAAATAAGTTAACCGAGAAAAATATAAACCACAGGCATGGTTGTCAAATAGATTAATCCCTTAATTTAATTTATTTTGCCTATGTGACATGGTCCTTATTTTGAAACTTTAAATCACCATGCAAAAAAAGTCGATTTAAAAAGTAAACGAGTACTGGTCAAGTCAAAATCCCTCATCTGGAAGGTATTCTACGCCGCTTTTTAGAGCTCTTTGGTGGCCAAGACGCGGCAATCAAAGCCATTCGCAATAATGTGGAGGATCAATAGCAAGTGGTCTTCGGCCCTGATGCTAACCTCGAGGAGGTCATCTCCTGTGCCCAAGACTCGCAACCCATGGCATGATTCAAGCCCAATAGTGACATTGAGAAAGGAGTTTCGAAGGCAGAAGTCGCAAATGCGGCCAATGCTGAGACCGCAAGCAATATAAAGGTACCAGAATACTATTTGTACCCTGATATACCTTACCACGACACCCGGGACAAGCGTGGTAGGAGACGGATATTTTGTTCAGCCAAAGAGCGCGGACGGTACTGTCTTCGGCTGCTACTTATGCATACCAAAGGAGTAAAGAGTTTGCTAAGCTCCGCATAGTGACTGAAGTCAATCAGACCTTTGATACATTCCACTCAGCTGCTCTTGCTCACGGCTTGCTCGAGATGATGAATAATCGAGTCGCTGCTTAGAAAAAGCATCCACATGTCAGTCACTGAGGATGCTGCGGCACCTGTTTGCTATTATGGTGATCAACTGCAGCCCCTCTGATCCACTGGTTTTGTAAGCTCACTTTGCAAGTAATCTGTCAGAAGATTTCTTTCATACATGCAGAGGGCTCCAGGGAGAGGCAACTGCTACTGCGGAGCGTATCGCAGAGGAACAAGCTAATAGCTTGGTACTTTACGACCTAAATGAAGTGTTGAAGGAGCTTGGACCCTGCCTGGCCAGCTTTCCAGAGATACCTCAAGGAATTGGAGATACCCTACAGAAGGAAGATCGGGTTGATGACACGCAGAGGCAATGGGGATTTGAACAAGGGGCGCTGAATAACGTGGTGCCTTCAAGCCCCTGAAGCAGCAGTCACGGCTCCATTACTCTGTGGAATACCTGAACAAGTTCAATCCACCAGGCTTGCCTCCGTTCAAACTGAAGTTGAAAGTCGATCAATCTGTCATCCTTCTTTGCAACTTGAGCCCAAGGCGTGGACTATGTAATAGCATCCGCATGATTGTGCGTGCGTTAGGCACAAGAATGATCCAGACTGAGATTATCAATGGGAAGTATCAAGGAGAGCGTGTTTTCCTCCTTACCTTGCTTGTGTCCGGTAAAGAAAAATAAGGTTGCCAAAATAGCGGCATGACCGGTAGACGCTTTTTTAATTTTTTTAATTCTTTTTAATTCTTTTTTAATTCTTTTTAATTCTTTTTTAATTTTTTTTTAATTCTTTTTAATTCTTTTTTAATTCTTTTTTATTCTTTTTTAATTTACAGACCCTGTTCTGAAAAGTTCGTTGGATGACTATGAGCAGTAATAATGATGAATTTTGAGTTTGCATATTTGCCAAAATCTTTTGTATCTCTGTCTGCTTGCATTTTTTTCTTATTTTATACTAGTTTTTCGGCAGAGGTGTGATCGACAGTCTTGAAGAAACAACAGTTTTTCAGGAGATAGATTTTTAAAAAGGGCATGACGCGTGAAATGATCCAGGAGTGAGCTATTACACTTATTTCCAAATGCAATGCATTTTTGCATCCTTCCCTCACTGCGCAACATATTTAAATCAATTGTCTCTTTTTTTTTTTTTTTTTTTTTTCCTTTTCTCTTTTCATTATCTTTGTCTCTTTTGCCCTCTTCATGCTTCTCTTCATCTCTCGGAAAGACTGGGAGATATATATGTAAGATAAAAAAAAACGACACCAAAGCACTCATCCACTGCATTGCTCATTCACTATTCACTTTCTCTTTTAGTTTGTTAATTTTATTCACTTCCCTCCATCCTTCTGTCCACCCCGTTCTTCTGCTTCGAGTAACGCTGCTTTCCTCGAGCGTAGCGACAGCAGCTTCTCAATACAGACAAAGAGCTGAACAATTCATACATTTATAAAGTAGTTATTTAAATGTGAGTTTGAACAAATGTTTTGTTTGTTTGTGAACGTGCGTGCGTGTTTTGTCTGGATGAAAAGTGCATGTTTGTCAATTTCAGCCCAATCAAAGCTAACAGACCCTGCAGAACGTCCACTCTCTTCCCGGACGTCCTCGCTCTCATATCCATTTGCCCCGAATTGCTCCGTGTCCTCGCCTCGTTGCCGATGCAGCCAGCCGACCAGAATAAGAATCTTGAAGGCCGTGAGCACCACTGCAGCTCCAGTACCACAGCCAAGTCCACGACATGCAGCTCGGCATTGCTAACCAGCTCCCCTCTCCTGAACCCATCATCATTACCCTCGTCGTCATCGTTGACACCACCCTCTACAACAGATGCCGCCTCTCCTACGCCGCCAATAGCACCATCACCACAACTCTCTATTGAACCAATAGATTATACACTCAAACCAAGCAGACCAGGCTCCGAGCCTCTAGTCTGCGCTGATTTCGGGCCCATATCCCTCTCTGCCATCGACCCTTATCATCTATTGACCCCTGGCGATAACCACAGCAGCCATAATTTCGAGCCAGAGAGCACCATGCTGATGACAATCCCCCAGGATTGTGCCCAGGAAAATTTAGAACGTCAGGTTCAAGAAAATCAACTGTGGCTTCAGACCGCTTTCCTTCATAATCAGTTTCACCCTCAACAACTTCTACCAGTTATGCACCCTTCCTCTCATCTTCAACCTTTCCTGCTACCACCACTAACACAGTTATCGTCATCACCGTCGCCTTCAGCATCATCACTGCCACCACCACTACCTCCGACAGCGCTCACTCTTCCTTCCCCTCCCCTTGTTGCTCCTCTATCAGCTCCACACTTGATACAATATGAGCATTCCCACTATGACACTCATCCTAACCAGCAACAACCAGCGACGCTCCAGCAATCGACCAGTGGTATTGAGCCTTTTTACCAACAATACCACAATTTATCTCCACAGCAGCAACAAAGCATGCTCCAGCAACAAACACAACAGCTGCCGCTACAGCAATATCAGAATGGCGGATCTCATGAGAAGCGAGGTCAGTTCTTTCCATGGCCTGCTTCCGCCACAGCTATGACGCCTCTTCCAGGCAACTTCGGGCCATTGCCTTTGGCAAACACGGGGACACTCACATCTACAGCAAATCCCCGGATCACTTCGCGTCCATTTCAGACGGTTGCGTACACTGGCCTAGCAGCAGCTGCTAAGCATAACACCAAGCGGGCAGCTGATGACATGCCCGCGTCTGAAAGTTTGAGACCGGCCCAGCGACGGCGTCTCGAGGCCTCTCGAGGCCTAAGCATCTCCTCCGAGGCCACGGTGGTAGCGCTACCAACAGTAGCAATGAGAGCGGCATCACAACCAACGACTGAGTCCAGTCCGCGGTCCACACAGCCTTCGATGCCCCGCTCCCCCACAGCTACCCATAGCTCCAAAGTGCTCTCGGCCATGCCACCGCAGGGCCCTAGGACAACTACTGGCACCGAAAGCGTTCGATCCACAAAGTGTCCACATTGCGACAAGGAGTTTCAGTCCAAAGGGCTCCTGCGTTCGCATATGGTAAGCCATTCGGCGGAGAGGCCGTTTGTCTGTTGGGACTGTGCAGGCAAGAGTTACAAGAGGAACCATGACCTGCTTAGGCATCGGAGAGAGAAGCATAACGTGGATAGAGTCTCCGCTATCCACAGTATATAGCCTTAAGCCTATAAAAGGCTTGTAATAGTAATTTAATAAAGATCCTCTTCTTATATACCAAAATGATACGCAGAGTGAAAGAAAAGAAGAAACACCTCATTAACTAATGAAAGGAGAAAATAAAGGGCAGCTCTCTCTCCATTGCAAATCTCGACACCAAAAAAATATGTTTACTCATGAAAATTTGGCCTCTACTTCTGCTACTCATTACGTATTATGCAAGTTCTGACGCTGTTGATGTGCTCTTTGGGTACGGTACACCGCACACACTATTAAAGGTCATGTCTACAATGTGTATATATTGTGGGCCTGAACTCTTAGCATACTAATTTACTACTTTAAATCTTTTTCTATCAGATTCTTTACTTTCATAGACTTTACCTTTACTTTCACTTTTCATTGAGAGAAAAAAATAAAAATAAAAAAGATATATTCCACACGCTCATCTGTCAGACATTCACCGCCTGCCAAGTACTCTCGCACATCAAGTGTGCAACGGGTCATCAAAGTACGACGAACCCGGCGAGCCGTGAGGTCTGAAGAGAAGTTGCAAGAAGAACGGGCGGAGGAGGAAACTGAAAAGGAGGAGGAATATAACTGGGCTTATAGCCCTATCGACTCTACCCTACTTGGGCGGAAGAGAGGAAAAAGGGGGGGAAGAAAGGCTTAAAAATGCAACCAAACTTGAATGTAGTGCTTGCTTGACCCAGGTTGCGCTTCTCAGCAAGAGTGTATTTGTCCTATTCCAAGGACAGCCAAGCTCAGGTCCTTGATTGAACGGCACTCACTGCACCAAGTTCCCCCTCTCATCGACTGAAATCGTGGTTTCGATGCCTGGCGACAGTAATAAGGTGTCCCAGTGAAACATCATAACAGAAAGTAGAGTCGGTGGTTTGAAAGAAATCAGTGAGGCCCATACGGCTTACGACAACCTCCATTATGTCCTCTTGCATCCAGAAGGCGAGGAGGGCTGGACATCTAAAAAGTATAGAAAACAGCCTAGGCCCGGTCAAACCTCTACAAGGCCTCATGGTGACAGCGGAGACGAAGGTAGCAATGACGGCCAGCAGGAGGTGGATGTGAGTGGGGGCGATGGTCAATCTATGAAAAGTCTAAAATACGTCAACCCGAGAGAGTTTTACACGTACAGGTTGCAGATTCGTCCTATGAGTTCAACAGACCAGCGATCTCTCATCTGAATGAATACGTGCTTGATTCACCAGTACACTGCCGACCAATATGGAGCTATACAAGCGGAATATGATCTACAAGGCTTTTCAGACAGTCATCGCTCTCATTCACTGCCGCGTCTTTCTGATATTCTTCCTTATGTTTATAATGTATCTACTTTGTTGTGTAGTTCACAACTATATATTACTCTACCTGGTTTTACTTTATTGATATATTTTGATGCAGTGTCGATTTTGTCAAAAAGCGACAGGGGTCAATAAAAAATTTATGCAAAGGCACAGCTTCTTTCACTTGGTCACGGTATCTTATGATTTTGAATTGATTGAATAGACTTCGACGAACATTGTCCATTCATTGAATTGAGTCGGTTGTATTTCGCAAGCAAACTCATTGGCTGTCAATATATTCGAGGCTATTCAAAAAATATAAAGTATCGTGACCAAATGAAACGGGCTATATAATGTGTATTAGTTGAAAAAAAGTTGTCAGCATTACAACGATATTAAAGTCGCGAAAGTTGCCAAACACTGTAACAATAATAATTTAATATTCTTTTGCTCATTCAAAGGACCCAATAGGACTACATAGCGTCCCGACAGGATATCCGTAGTATTCCTGTATGATTTCTCTATATAACTAACGTGCTTGGAGTGATAGGCGCACGTTGGCGATCCAACATTTTTATACATGATGTCGACATAGTTGTTATTGCCAAGATAACAAGCGCCATCATTTGTATCCTTATAAAATAGAGGCAAAATGGCTCTCATTTGAAAGCATATGGAAACCAATCCTCGATCCCAGCTTGAAATCCCATAAAGTCAGGTGTGATTCAGAACTGTATGAAAATGTTCTCATCAGTGTGAGAGTCGATGTCAGTGCGAATAGCCTGGAGCCTACCTCGCATAGAAAATAAAACATTGATCCTATACTTGCGTAGTTACTAAATATGTTCTTCAATGAATACGCAATATCCCTCAAGACATTATTGTTTGTTCAAGAAAGCAGTGTATACTTCACTCTCTTTTTTTTTCGATAGTTAATCAGCAAGTATCTTTTCCCACTTTATTCTTTATCCTAAATGGCTTCCTACTTCTTGTTTCCCTTCACTTTCGAGGTTTGCATGAAATGACATGTGCAAAACTACATTCGCTGCACACACTGTATTTGAACCGGTAATCTCTGATCGATTGGCTTGTTTCAATCAACTCTGTCAATGGTACTCCTTCGCTCAGACATTCTGCCTCTAAATCTGCCTTTGTTGGTGGTTCTCGATAATGGTTCACTTGACTGGACGATGCACTCTTGGCCTTGGATGCTGTCGATGGCATTCCTACACTCTTGGTCGCCTCATGTGCAGCCAAAGGGTAGGATTGCTTGTCTATAGCTCCACGTTGCACCAAAAGCTTCCTGTTGACTTCACTCAACCCATCTACATCTTGGATACGAGCGTTATTTGCATTAAGGACCGTTTGCTTGGTGCTCCACTTTAGGTGATATTGATATTCTTCATCCCTCTTCACAATCTGCCACATCCGAATAGAACCATTCTCGGAGCCTGTAACCAGATAGTGGCCCTCTTTGGAGGCATTCCATACAAGCGTATTAGCATAACCGCCTTCAAATAGGATTACAACCAAACACTGGCCTGATTTTGGATCCCACACTCGTACTGTCATGTCCCAGCTGCCTGAGGCAATATACCTTCCATCGGGCGAATAAGCCACCGCAGCGACCAACCTGGTATGTCCTTCAAACACACATAATACTGACCCTGTTTCCATATCTACCACACTAACCAGCCCTGCAAAATCTCCAACAACCATCTGCTGACGACATGGTGAAGATGCTACACATTTTGGAATATTGCCAACCTGTGTTTCGTAACAGAACTCGCCCGTTTCTGCAGACCGTACCTGCAAGCTCTTGTGTTCACGGTGGCGCTTGAACACCATCTTTTGACTGTCATGCATGTAGACAATATCAGAAACATTACTTCCTACAACACTCACATCGTACTGGAGATCGCCTGCTTGAGCTCTCCAGACTTTGATATTACCGCTTTCAGCATAAGAAGCAATCTGGTGGCCATTGGGCGAGAATACCACACGCTTCATCTCTACTTTGTGGCCATATAGTGTGCGGACGAGCTCTCCTGTTTGTGTGCTCCATATAGTTATATTCCCAGATTTATGGCCACAGGCAACTGGGTGGCCAATGGGTGAGAAATCAAAGACGTAGATGTCATCAGCACCTTCACCATGTAACTTTAAAGTGTGAACAACTTGACCTGTCCGAACATCCCAAAGGTAGACGCATGGAGCTTTGTGGCAAGTAGCAAGCAACCGGCCATCAGGTGAGTACTTGATATCTTTTATATATTCATCGAGGCATTGTAAAATGTGGATGGACTGCCCTGTTCTTGCATCCCATATATGCATTGTTTTACCACCGCCCGTTGAAGCTATTTGCTGTCCATCCGGCGAGCTCTTGATGTTACGTATCCCCGCTGGGTGGTTATGTAAGGCATGGCTGAATTGTTGTGGTCGGGTATCCCAAAGACGTATCGTTTTGTCTCTACTGAAGGACGCAATCTGGTGCTTGTTTGGTGAATATGCCAAGCAGTTTATCCTCCCAGAGTGACCGTAGAAGGTATTCATGAGTTGTCCTGATCTCGCGTCCCAAAGCCATATTGCGCTCTTCCCGTCGCAAACGGCTATCGCTTCTCCGTTTGGTGAATACTTTAAATCAGTGATAAAATAATATATTTCTCCAAAAGTTGGAATAGCTTTGCCTGTTTGCATGCCCCACTGGTATATCTTTTCATCGGTGAACGAGGCAGCGAACTTCCCACTAGGTGAATACCGTACGCCTTTGACATATTGATCATGTTCCAAATTAAACTTCTTTTGACCAGATCCAACATTCCACACATGCAGCCAACGATCTTCGTAACAACGAGTTATGACTTCTTGTCCATTAGGTGAATACTCAATTTCCTCAATCCTAGAGCCATGGTCCATGAACACTATCGACTGTTGCCCTGATGCCGCATCCCACAGCCGCAATATCTTGTCTTCACCGCCAGTTGCAACCTGCTTTCCATCAGGTGAATATGCCACACTCCTCACAGCACCAGTATGGCCTTCTAACATATATTTGAGAATGCCCGTTTGGGTGTCCCACACTCGCACTGAGCCATCATCACAGGCTGAGGCAAGATCGTTTCCATTTGGCGAGTACGCTACACAATGAATAGACTTTGTATGGCCCACCAATCTATGAACCAATGCTCCTGAGCCTGCATCCCAAATTAAAACTGCAGTTCGACTATTGCCCCAAGAGGCAATACGCCTGCTGTCTGGTGAGTATAAAAGTCTATGGCCAGTTACATCGCCCTCCAAAACGGAAAGCTTCTCCCACCTTGATGTGTCATACACGATGATTGAATAGTTATGTCGTTCGCCTTCGGTAACTGCAGCGAGCGCCTTGCCATCAGGTGAATATGCCCCATCAATCACCCAATTACCTGCTTCGATAAGAGGCCATTCTCCAAACTGAACACCTGCCATCTTTGCCCCGTTCAGGTTTGCTTCACGAAGCCAACATTTCCGTAAGTTGACCTTCCTCAAATCTGCTCCTTGCAGCTGAGCATACTCAAAAATACCATGGCTGACATCGGCTCCTGGAATCTGAATGCCTCGCAGGTCTGCTCCAATGAATGACTCGCCTGCTCGGACCAAGATCGTCATCGCATTCGCTGCTGCTATCCGCCACTTGCTATCTCTCTTTGAAAGCTCTACATATCCATACAACTGCTGTTTGAACACTGACTCAAGATGGACACGATCCTCCAGGAACTGAAGGATAGATGGCTCATCTACAAAACTCCTCCATACTAGAGGCGATGTCTCATCAGCTTGGACCACATCCACTTCTTGCTCGCTCTCCTTGATGTCTATACCTTCAAAACTGAATACTGAACTAACACTCTGTCGACGAGAGAGCGATGTGGTTGCATTTACTTCTTTATCACTTGTAGAAATGCTCGTTGCTGCCTGCGGAGCAAATATCGCTCGCACCAGACTGTACTCTAGTATAGATCGATGGAGAAACCGATGCTGATTGCCTGTCCGAGTGAGTGGTGATGCCTCACGTAATAGATTTCTTCTGCTTTCTTTACTGAAATATGCTTCTTTCCATGTGCCTTTATCCTTGGATGGTGAGTACTCCACCACTGGGTTGCCATTCTGTTGCTTATAGATTGCTATAGCCAGCTCTGTGAGATACTTGATCCCATTCTGTGCAAACCCTTCATCTGTCAATACTCTGTACATCCTTCTATCTTCTGGTCTTAATGTCTCGCTTAGTCGCTTCTTGCCTCGTTCGAACCACTGCTCAACAAACTGGTCATACAATGTGACTCGTTTGATCTTGCTTTTGGTGACCTCTTGGCCTGGATCCACCATCCGTGGGAGTACTTCTAGTGTCATCGATAGCATGAATGGGTTCTTCACGAGTTCTTGTAAGCTAGGGATCATCTTGAGTGCGCCCTTATAGTCCTTCACACCCCACAGTAAGTCCATGGAATTGACATATTGTTCGATATAGTCTTCAATCTGTTCCTCAGAGAATGGCACAATCACTGCCTCTTGGAACAAAACACTATCTACTTGATGATTGCGATTCATAGGTTGAAATCGATCCCGATAGTCTGATCCAAGGTACTCACTGCGACAGCTGATCACCATCTGACACTTCCACTCTCCAGGTTTATTCAGTTGGTTGGTAACATACAGGTTGATGGTTTGCATACTTTCATCATATCCATCACAGATCAACACAAATGATCGATTCATCTTCAGTTCCTTAATCTCCGAGTCTGCAAAACCGTAATCTCGTAGCTGCTTTGCAACCATACCCTTCTCTGGATTGTCGATGGCTGGAAGATTGATAAACAGTGGGATTGGACCATGCCTCTTTCGGTATGTCCCCCAGAGTGTGCGCTCCAGAGTGCGGTTGAATGTGGATTTGCCTGCTCCTGAATCTCCTTGTACAAGCATCACTTTCTGGTCGCTGCCTAGGAACTCTTTCACTTTGTCCATCAACAAAAACCGCTCATCATTGCTTGCTTGAGGACTTGATTTGGCATATTGTCGAACATAGAACCTTTGGTTATTCCCAACATCCGCTCGCTGTCGTTTTAGTTGGCGTAGAGTATCCTCAACACCAGGGTTCTTCTGTACACGTTCAAGCAATTGTGAGGATTCAGATCGAGAGAGCGTAGCAACGGGGGTGAGCTGGATCAGTGGCCCTTGGAGAGAGAGCCTGTATAGCTCTTGTTTGTTGACACCTTCGTCCATCTCAAGATCATACAAAAGAGTGTTTGCAGCTGGAATAAAAGAGAACAAAGGAAGAGAAGAAGGCATGTATGGTGTATGTGGATTAATCACTACATATTGATTGCTGTCATTGCCATCAAAAGCATCCATAGAAGAAGAATGAGATACATACCTTGAGGACCATCTAGTGGCAACGAGGATAATTGCTTAAGAATATTTACGACCCATTGCTTAATGTGTACATGATTGCCCCACTCCTGATCATTCTTGTAGATCTCTCCTAGGAATGTGATGGCGTCTTGTCGAGTATCCATGCTCCACTTTGTATCAGCTGCTATCTGTCCCAGCCTTTGACATAGCCCCCATTGGAATGCTGCTTCATTTCGACAGGATACTTCACACATAAGAGTCTTGAACTTACTCAGTTTGCCTGTTTGGAGTAGTCTATCAGCTACTCGAAGTGCTGGATACCATCCTGACTTGCGACTGAAGCTCAGTCCTTCTTCCATACACTCTCTGAACAATGATCCGCTCTCATAGAGTGATGTTGCTCCTTTGTACACTTGAAGGCTCTTGTCCATGATATCTGTCACTGATGAAAGCCCTTTCTGGATGTTGCTTATCTCATCCACGAGAGCATTCAGATCAAGGTCCTTGACCGCACTCACTACTCCAAACACCCCTTGAAGTACTGATGATGTCCGTCGGAGCATGCCTTGCATTGCTGATTCATCATTTGGGATATACAATAGAGCTTGGAAAGCATAAGCTGCTTGATAGACTAGATGGGGATCTGAACTCTCTTTCAGTCCCTTAAGATATGCAGCAAGCGGCTCATAGAGTTGTTCTCGCTTGAGTCCTTTGACTTGAATGTTGATCATGGCATCGAGGATATGTGAGACTGTAGATGAGATGCGATAGAGATGATCCTTAGACTGGTTATGTGTGTTTTGCAAGCGAGAATTGAGAGTGCCAAGGATCTTGACAAGATCATCCGAGTCGAGATATCCAAGAGGAGCATGCTGCATCAAGTGAGCCAATCCTTCCAGCAATTGAGTCTCCAGCACAATGTTATGGCTGATGCCATTGATCAAAGCCGCAAGTAGTGCTCTGAACTGGGTTTGATCAAGAACTGGAGCCAGAGTCACAATCTCAGCTACAGCTTCGGTCTTCATCCCATCCTTGATGAACAGTTCAATCATATCCGACGCCAATTTACGCAATCGATCATGTTCATCCTGATTGCTTGATATGGCCTGTTGCCACTCTTTCTCGTGGTTATTAAGCTCATTTGTTTGGATAGGAGCAGTAGGAAACAGACTGAGACAATACGCGAGCTGGCAAATATCATCCAGATTCGCATCGACATCTGGCAAGCTGTACTTGATGACTGTTGGAGGTTCATCATGGTTGAATATGTCCTTTGATATAGTTGCAATGGTCTGTACTGGCATGTATCGCACTGTTTCCATCATGTTGCTCAACTTGCTACTACTGGATTCGCTGACTTGTTGGTTGGCGGCGATATTCCTATTGTTGCTGTCATTCCTGTTGCTCCCTTGGATGTATCCCCATTTCTCTGCTTTCTTGTCTCGCCTCTGTGCATCAGCTGAGTGACCCAATTGGTCAAATAAGCGAGCAAGTTGATAGTAGGCTGAGCCAATACCTTGGCGCAATACCATGTCTTCATTGGAACCTGAAGAGGTCAAAGAGGCTGAAGTCATTGTAGCGAAGGACTTTTTCCAAGGCTTCTGAATACGAGACAGTACAGAGTCAGCATCGAGGCATAGCTCTGTCACTAGGATGCTATCGTCGTCTATGGTGCGAGCACCCTGCATGTACAAGTCAAAGAGTCTCAGAGCCTGTGCAGGTGAGAGTGTACTTCGTGATGGAGAATTGGTACTGCCAAACATGGTCTATTGCTTTCGTTTTTGCTCGTAGATGGTATTCCTATCTATACCACTGAGAAAAATGGTTATCAAAAGATAGTTTGTTAGTAGCCAGTGTGAAAAAATATTTTCTTTCGCCATATTTGCCTGTCTCTTACATGCATGTATGCTTTAAAGATTCGAGAATCGAACTAACAAAAAAGAAATGCAATTGGAATTGTCTGATGTGCTGAAGGATGAAGGTTGAAGGATAAAAAGATGAAAGATGAAAGACAGATGGCGAAGGATGATGAAAGATTAAACGCATGCATCTCCTTGCCTTTGTGCAACTAAAATTGTTGCACATTTACTTCATTTCCTCAATGCGCGCTGTATAAGGGTCAATTGTTTTTGTGATTTCAGCTCGATTCCTTCCTCCTCTTTTTAATTCAGGGTTAAAGAAGAATGTCCTTTTGGTACATGAATGAAGTGAATGAAGAATAATTCGTGAGATCATGCTTGTGTTTCCGGCCTGCGCAGGAATGTTTACATGCATGGAAACATTGAATGCCTTGCACATGTGACAAGAGGGATCATCTCTTGGCACGGAGCAATGGTTGGTATACCTCACTACTTTATCGGTGCAACTCGAACTTCAGCTACTTATTGACGCCACCCTTGAAAACTGAATGGCCATTCTCATCCATCAACACCCAGCATTTGGAGAAAGTATAATTTAGGTGGTATTGCTGTTATCATTTGCATGAACATGCCTTTTATATGACCCACCTATACAGGGCAGCTCTCTTTTTTCTTTCTTCTTTTTTCTTTTTTATATTTTTTTTTTTTTTGGCACCATACCGGTGTAAAGACGTATGAATGTACGAAAAGCAAAACATTTGATACACGCGATACACCTTCACACCTCAATCTTAGCAAAGCGCTTGAAAATGTCAGCACCACGGACTCTTCGTAGCAAAAAAAAAAAAAAATTAGAAAGGTCGACAGTATGCTATGCTATTCGCTAGATCACCAGGGTATCAAATAGGCCAGTATTTATCATTACCGCTTGCCCTCAATGAAGCATTGCAGCAGCAGCTCCGGAACAAAGGAATGGTTCGTGGTACAGTCTCTTCGCAATACAGAGACATTTTATTTGCTCTTCTCCTCCATAGGGCCATTCAAAAGCAACGAGGCTCAATAAATAATCAACAACTACAAGATTATGTACTTGTTTTGATAAGTGCGCCTTATTGAATAAAGATTCAGCAAACAGATGTCTTGGCCATCATTTCAAGGTGTCTTCCTTGATTGGAGACAGCCAGGTTTGTAATGGTTAACACGATATGTACTCCATTGAAAATAAGAAAAGAGAGTTCAGTTTGCAAAGAAGCAGAGAAGTTATGGATAGCGTAGTCGAACGCTAGTGAAGGCTAAAGCCTATTGTTCGGCAAAGAGGAGACAATGGATGTCCCACCCGCAGCCCCCCTGGTTCCTTTGGTAGTAGATTGGAACATCCAAGAGGGCTCCACAGTGTATGCAGTAGTCAAAAAAAAAATCCTTTATTTCCAGTAGTAGCAATAAAAGAAAGGTAACACATCCATTGTCTCCTCCGAAGGACGAACAATTGGCACTTCTTTAGACCTATTCGCTTATTTTATCTCTCGGACTGTAAACGAGGCAAATCTACCCTTTACCTTTCATCAACTCATGGGCAGATCGGATCTAGTTCTCTGTGCTTTCTATTAGCAGAAATTAGCTGTCTATCGCATGCCAATTAAGATAAAAAATCAGTAAAATTAATCAACCAGCAAAAAAAAAAAATTAGGCTCTATCATCACCATCATCACCATGAACTATGTCCGCCATTGTCTACGGTACCATGTCCGTATGTGTGTGTCACCTTTCTTCATTGAAAATCCGACGAGAAATAAAGAAAAATAAACTAAATAAAAAGATCCCTCTGCCCTGCAACTCTGATCTACATCTTTCTTCTCGTCGCTCCTGGAACTCATCCGTTGCAGACTATTATCTATTCGTTCCAATGAGCGACAATTCTACCGACAACACTCATAATGCACTCCTTCATGAAATCAACACTCTTCGTCAGCAGGTGGCTGCCCTTACGCAGGCCAACCCTTCCTCCTCTTCCCCTTCCCCCATCACCATTGATCGCCCACAGGCCAAGATACTTGTCCTCTCTGATACCCTCAAAGCGGCTGTACCTTCCCTTGACGGCTCTCATTTCTTCCGTCCCCCGGACAACTCTGGCGACGATAACATCCTCACCGAGTACGTCCTCTATCCCAAGAACCCAGATCAGCAGTACAAAGCGCCCTCTCTTGAGTTGCCTTGGCCTCAGGAGACCACTTCTTTTCAACGAGTGGACAAGTGGTTATCCCAACTACAGGAACGTCAGGCCCACGCTACGCGACCCTTGGACGAATTCCTGGCAGAATACTTTCACAAAGTGCACGATCCTGCATTACGGCAGATCGTCGCAGATTTTGGGCATGCCATGCGATCTCATCTGGCCGTTACAGCACGCCAAATCACCGATCTGCGCATGGATAATTTTGTGTACGCAAAGGGTCTCAAGCCAGCCCCTGATCATGAAAAGACTGCAACTATCACTAAAGATGATATTGCAGCCCGAATTAAAGCTGCTGAGGAGTACCAGGAGGCCAGCAAGCCTCGCAAGACAGCTTTGCAAAACAGAGGGTCCGGTCGCAATTCCGGTTCTCGCAGCAGGGGTATTTACTTTAACATGTACCCCCACCAGCAGCAACAGTTCCAGCAATTTCCATCACAATCGCAACCTTATTCACCAGCGAATCATCATCAAGCACAACAAGCCACACCTCCTCAGCTCACTTACGGGTATGGAGAGCCCATGCATAACAACCAGCAGGGACAGTATTTTTACAGAGGCAGCCGTGGACGGGGACGCGGCAGCGCCAACAAGAGCCAGTAGGAGGCCGTCTGCACCTCTACTCGAGGGCTTGGAGGCTCCTCACGGACGACAGGTGGGTCCGCTCCGTGATTGGAAACGGTTTTCAGATTCCCTTCCACAGACAACCTCCAATAACACACACATCAAGAGCCCTTTCCCCGCATCTATCCAAGGAGGAGACACTGGCGATAGAGAACGAAGTGATCGCACTTCTGGCCAAAAAAGCCATAGAGCACGCTTCGGGACCTGGTTTCCAGAGTCGTTTGTTTACTATCCCCAAGAAGACAGGGGACCTCCGGCCTGTCCTCAACCTACGTCCTCTCAATCAATTTATCATCACAGACTCGTTCAAGATGGAGACGATTCAGGTAGTATGCAATACCCTTCAGAAGAACGATTATTTGACGAGCATCGATCTCAAAGATGCTTTCCTTCATGTGCTGATTCATCCACATTTTCGTCCTTACCTTCAGTTTCAGTGGAAGGGTCAGCTGTATCAGTTTCGCACTCTACCTTTCGGGATGTCACTGTCGCCGTTAGTCTTCACGAAGGTCCTACGCCCGGTGTTGAGATGGGCGAGGCGTCGAGGAATACGGCTGACAGCTTACATCGACGATCTGTTGATCATGGCCAACTCCAAAGCCCAAGCAGAAGAGCACACGAATCTTGTCCTGGACAAACTCAAGTCTCTTGGATTCCTCATCAACAAGGAGAAATCCTCTCTGATGCCAACGAAATGTCTAGATCATCTGGGTTTCACCATCAACACCACCGACATGACCCTCTCGGTACCGAAGTCCAAGGTCAGGGACATACGGCGAGAAGCAGCGAAGATGCTCAGCAAGGGATGGACGACGGTTCGCAACTTGGCTACGTTCATAGGGAAAGCCATGGCGACGACAGCAGCAGTATTTCCAGCTCGTCTAATGACGCGGCATCTTCTGGCATTGAAGAACAGAGCGCTCAGCCATCAGGGGTCATCTTGGGAAGCGACGATCTCACTGGACGACAGAGCTCGAGCCGATCTGGATTGGTGGACACACCAACTCAAGGAGTGGAACGGGACGTCATGGATTCAGTCGCCAACTCAGATGGACGTGTACACAGACGCCTCCGACCAAGGCTGGGGGATCGTCATAGGGCAGCGCACTTGGACAGGGCTATGGCCACCAAACATACGCCACCAACACATCAATTTAAAAGAGTTACTAACCGTGTACTACGCAGTCACTCTACCGCAAACACAAGGGAGGATGCTCAACCTAGTAATCGACAACACAACCACCATCGCTTACATCAACCGGTTCGGCGGAACTCGTTCACAACCTCTGATGGACCTGGCGGACAAAATATGGAAGCATTGTCTAGCAACAGGCACAAGACTCAGGACCACATATGTACCTTCAGTATTCAATCCAGCAGATGCACCATCACGCCGGATGCAAGCGCAGCTCGAATGGAGGCTGGACCCGTCATTTTTCCGTCGTCTAGACCAGCAGTGGGGGCCTCATCGGATAGACCTCTTTGCATCGCCCAGCAACAACCAGCTTCCTCAGTTCATGACATGGAAACCTCATCCTTTGGCAGTGGACTTCGATGCGCTGAGACACAAGTGGAGCCACTTGGGCAACCTTTACATCTGTCCTCCATGGAACTTACTTCCAAGGATCCTGCAGAAGCTAGACCAGGAAGGCCTGGAAGCGACCATAATTACTCCATTTTGGCCATCGGCGATTTGGTTCCCGAAGATACAGGCAATGGCGACCCAACCCCCTTTACCGATTCCACGAACATGTGTTCTCCCTCCACCAGGAAACGACGCGCACATCCTGCTCAAGAATCCACACTGGGGCCTTACCGCGTGGAGAGTAAGAGGACGAGGATGCTCATAGATGGCCTCTCGCCAGCGGTGACTGAGTTTATCTGTGCTCACAAAGGATCCAAGAGCACCAAGCGAGAGTACGAAAAGCATCAAGCTGAATTCGTCACTTGGCTGAAAGAGGGCTCGTTCGAACAAGGGATTAACCCCGCGATCCCAGTAGTGAACTGGCTACACTACGTGCGGGTCGCTCGCAATTTGAAGTGGTCCACGCTGATGACCATGAAGTCGGCTGTCCTCGCCCTATTTCGTGACCCAGAGAGAGTACGATCAGATGAATACTACCGCCAGTTCCTCAAGGCTGGAAAGCAAGAAGGTGTCGTTGAGTCCAGGTCTGGTCACTTTGACATCACACCTGTTTTGGACCATTTTCGGCAGTCATCAGCAAATATGGAGTTGCCTTTTGAGGAGCTTACATGGAAGCTGTGTTGGCTCTTAGGCGTCTGTGGCTTCATGAGACCAGACGACATCAGATGTGTAGATGTCAGTCTCTCCAAGCTTGTGTTAGGGAAGCTTCAGCTTGTTGTTGTTTTCCCAAAAGAGAAGAGTGATGGACAACGTATCATTAAGCATGTGACCATTGGTTCTCACTTTGACAAGAAGCTATGCCCTGTCGACGCATACACCGCTTACCTGGACAGGCTGTCTTGTCCTTCCACTACCTCTCCTCATCCGAAGGACCCAACAAGAAGCATTGTACCTTTGATTAGATTTGTGAAAGACCACACCCAGCCGGCGCGTGCGACTACTATTGGCTCCCACATGAGTAGGATTTCTTCGCTGATGGATTTAGGAGACAAGAAAGCTCCTAAGCTCCGAGCCTTAGGTTCTACGCTCGCGGCTATAGCAGGCGTACCAGTGGCTGATATCATGGTGCAGGGGAATTGGTCGTCCCCGAAAGTCTTCGAGAAGCACTACCGTTTGTCGAGTGCCACCTCCAACAACATGTCCATGAGCACTCTAGGCTAGATTTTCTTTAGTTAGTTGTTCATTTCGTTCAGTTTTCTTTTAGTTTTAGTTTTGTTTTAGTTTAGTTCTCTTTGGCGATCCCTCTGGAGCCACATACGGACATGGTACCGTAGACAATGGTCTACTGAATGGTCTACGAAGGACGACCTATTCACATTGTCATAGGTACCATGGACGTATGTCCCACCCACACCACCCCTTTTTGGCTCGAGAAGTAGATGTAGATCAGAGTTGCAGGGCAGAGGGATCTTTTTATTTAGTTTATTTTTCTTTATTTCTCGTCGGATTTTCAATGAAGAAAGGTGACACATACGTCCATGGTACCTATGACAATGTGAATAGGTCGTCCTTCGTAGACCATTCAGTAGACCATTTACTTACCTCCATCCTTTTAGCACATCTAGCAACATTTACTATTTTTCATTCCTTCTTTCCCTGCCAGAAGAAAAACAAAACACCTTTCCGACCCCTTTTCCCTTTTTCTAGAGGCATGTTACCGAATCTCTATACTGCTTTAGAATGGTTGTCATTTGAGACTTTAAAAGATCGATTGATTGCATGCTCAAGCCTTTGTCTCTGACAGCAATAGTATCAAGGTAAACTGCTAGGTGGCAATCGTGCGCGTTGTTACCTTACCAATCGCACCAGCCCTCTAGAATCAACCCCTCCAAAAGGAGAGCACAATGTGAAGCTGTATTCTCCAAGGCCTGTGGAAATTGGTGGACTTTTGAAAGGATGGAATCAACAATTGCCTTAGGAAATCTGCAGGCACGAAATACCTCTTATATGTCCATATCCTTTTTTCAAGATGAGTTTTGTAAATACAAGTTTTGGTTCCGTAATGAGCCTATATCAATTTCAAAAAAGAACAAGTTGGACTTTGTGGTATGATATACATTTTTTTAAAATAAAACTACAACATGTGTCCACACCCAAACAAATATCATCCTATCATTGCTGTGCATTGACCACATGACGCTCTCAAGAATCTAAACTCAGTAATACAGTGCAACCTTATCAGGATTAGGAAATACAGCCAAGATGGAGTGGTTGACTGCATGATGTATGTCGTTTGGACCTCTTACTCTAAATGGACCAACGCAATTGCTGTAATGAGTATAAATTGTTTGAGAAAAATGTGCCACCAATAAGGGGGGGTTTTTTTTTCCCTTACTTTATTTTACTTACCAATGCTTTTTCATCTTTTGCATCCCGTAGAGATGGTTCTATACTTCTTTCTTGGAAGCAATGTACATATTTAAACTGCAAGTCTCCACAATATGGCCCATCAAATTATTGTATTCACCTTCGTTAAGGGATGCGTGAAAAGTGCCGCTCTATGCTGGCTTGGTAATCAAAGCACTGTGAGCAATTCGTTCCATGTAGAGGATCCATGACCTACTCTAAAAGATGCTGGCTCTTAGTCCCAATGCGGTGTCTATCAAATATTTTTTTCTCTTTTAATGTTGTAGCTTTTGGCCTTCTTAAAATATTCGATCAAAAGTCATAAGAAGGAGGACCCTATATATTGCGGGCGCATTTAGTCTTGTAGATAATATATTTTTATTTTTATTTTTATTTTCACTTTTTTTATTTTGTGATCCAGTGGATGTGATCATATTACAAAGCTCTTCATAGCATTACAATGACTAAAGTCGGGTATTTTTCTTTATAGTTCTCACAAAATACAACATCGTCTCTCTTAACGAGACAAAAAGTAGTTCATAATATTTTAAGCTTTATTTCTGGTCTTATTTTCTATAGAATCAAAGGAGCTCCATCATACCGATCACTTGTGGATTTAAGTTATCCCTGTACATAGCCAGTATCATCTCTGAGTTTATTTCAAGGTTGGCTTTCTTGACCTTAATCTTAAGGGCAGCTGTTTGTCAATCTGCAACCAATGCTGGCTTCCTCAACCGAGTCGGCTTCCTTGACATTAGCAGGGCAGCTGTTTGTCAGTCTGCAACCAATGCTGGCTTCCTCAACCGAGTCGGCTTCCTTGACATTAGCAGGGCAGCTGTTTGTCAGTCTGCAACCAATGCTGGCTTCCTCAACCGAGTCACCGATTGGGATCTTGATTGGGCCAGCTATAAGATTAAATGGAAGGTGATAATGAGGTAAATGTTTAGTATATTTTAATAATATATAACTCGTAAACATGCATATGCATATGAACAGGTGTAAAGATCTTACCTTCGGCGGACATGACCAAGGCGGCAGCAACTACGGAAAGGGCGGCGGCGATTGAGAACTTCATGATGTGGAATGGATGGTGGATAGTAAAGTAGCTTTTTTAGTGTTGTAAGGTACTTGAGGATAAGGAAAAGGAAAGGTGTAGGAGTGTCTGCTTTTTTATAAAAAAAAAAAAAAAAAAAGCAAAAAAAAAAATTTACCTGTATATGATAGCGGAATACCTAACATATCTTGAAACATCAAGCAACCTATAGCTATAAGTCAAAGATGCTTTTCTGTTTGACTATTCTTATCCTATCTCAGTTACATCAGGGGCTGAATCACTCGTCTAATGAAGTGAGACTTGAGATAGCCATCAGAACGTCTGATCCACACATCTAAGACAATTTTCGAAATTTCCATATGACATGCCTGTGAGACAGCCAATCACACAAGTCTTGTCGTCATAGTTGACAACATACAGCTTCATGTAGCCGAAAAGGCATAATGCAGATGTAGGATAGTTGGGGTAGTTGTGCAGAAGGCTGTGTCCGTGTATTGCTGTTGCGATACTCAGTCAGGGTCTAGTTGCTCATACTTTGGAGGCACAAAATCAATGTGATGATATCTTTTCCTTGGGACTCTTTATTTTCTTACCCCTCTATAGCCAAATGATCTGTCTTCGCCTGTTCATACTATACAGCAGAACGGCAATAGCGTATACTGTCCTTATCCAGTAATTGCTAGATTAGGTTAGGTTGTTTAGGTTGTTTCCCATGATGAACCAGTTTAATCAAATCTTCTGTTTGACTTAAGAATCTCCTGTTTGACATTGGAAATCTCTTGTTTGACATGTCAGAACCTTATCGAAACATCTTGCCCGATATTTTACTTTTCTTCTATTCGCTCTGACTTTGATCCGCCTGTTAACATATTGACAGCCCGATACAGCACAATCGCCGTTGTACCGAAATGCTCAAAAAGTGAGACATTCTATTTTGTGTAAGTTGGGGTCAATATAGAAAACTCGATATAGTTAGAGATACAATTATCTGGAGCTGAAACATCGGTATAGACCCGACTCCATCCTTAATCAAGAGAGAAACATTATGGGGTGCTCAGAGTGTCCTTTGTTATCGCTGGAAGGTATAATAATATCATCTACGTACACCTTAACGTAATGAAGGCCTCCAAGCGAAGATACTAATCATAGGTTTGGGTATGAGCAACGTTGTATTGTGTTTGAATGCAATGTGGCTTCCTCTGGAGGAGATCTATGGTGTGCTTGAAGTTGATTGTAGTAAAATACCTGTAGCCTGTCTACTTGCGTGTAGAACCTATCCTCGAAGAGCGCGTTCATGGCAGCAGCAAACACCAGCCAGGAATTTCGTTGTGCTGTGGGAGAGGTCAAATAGAAACCCCTCATCGAGAGCATATTCCACGCTTGGTAGAGCTTCTTGGAGAGTGACAGAAGCTCAAACATGTCGGTGTTTATCTTCCCCAAGATGCTTTCAGCCATGGTTATCTCTACACTGCTTTGTCTCGATGTATAAACCCAAATAATCTAAAGGTACTTGTCATAAACGGCAACTGTTTTTTACCAAGAACACGGATAGAGCCAAAACGTGATTTATTGTTCCTTAATTTACATAGTTTAATTTGACCATATGACACGGCCCTTATTTTGAAACTCTAATCGAGCCTGAAAAAAAAGTCGCGTCTACGATGCACTGCAGATCTAAAATGTAAACCTGTTCACTTTGTTTTACTGTCCTACTTTCTCAGCACACCTAAATCTGCCTCCATTTTCCCTGGACCTTTTTTTTCATTGCTTTCGTCTATTTTATCAGTTTTTTTTAAAAAAGAAAAAAAAAAATCATGCCTGCCACACGTTCCACACGTTCGTCATCTGTTGCACCTCCTACAACTCAGTTGCCTACCAAGCGCTCTCGCTCTATCTATGGCGGCTCGAACCACTCGAAAGCTGTTTCTTCTCTGGTCCGCTGGATTTGTGGACTCGCTTTGCAAGGGATCTGTCAGAAGACTTTCTTAATACATGTAGAGGGCTCTTGGAAGAGACAACTACTATCGCTGAAGATAGCGCAGAGGAACAAGCTAAGGGCTCGGCACTTTATGATCTGAATGAAGTACTGAAGGAGCTTGGATCCTGCCTGGCTAACTTTCCAGAGATGACCCAAGAGCTTGAAAATGCCCTGCAGAGGGAAGATCAGGTTGGTGACACGCAGTAGCAATGGGAATTTGAACAAGAGGCGCTCAACAACGTGGTGCACTTGAACTTGGACCAGAGAATCGCCTTAAAACACATCATCAAAGCAGCCAAGGGTGAGGTTCATAAGAGGCTTTTTTTCATTGATGGCCCAGGAGGAACAGGCAAATCATTGTTATACAGCACACTCATTGGCTGTCTCACTGGTCGACATAAACTAAGTGTGATTGCTGTTGCACCATCAGGGATTGCCTTTCTCATTCTTCATAATGACCATACAGCCCACTCTATGTTCAAGATACCGATCCCTTTTGACTGTCGCTCCACCTTCAATCTTAGTATGCGGCGAGATGAGAATATGCAATGCTGGCGTCTTCTGGGACGAGACTCCTTTACAGTACAGGCATTGCTTTGAGGCTGTCGACAGGCTACTTCGGGATATTATGGGACAGGATACTCCATTCAGTGGTAAGGTGTTTGTATTTGGAGGCGACTTCAGAAAGGTACTTCTGGTTGTCATCCGTGGGACCCAGGCTCAGATTGAGGATGCTTCACTAAAAAGATCTTATATAGGCCTTCAGTGGCGGCATTCAGACTGAGCAAGAATATGCGGGTTAACAGCCATCCTGAGAATCAAACAGGTTGCGATTATCAAAGAGCTATATCAAGGAGAGCGTATATTCATTCCTCACATACCGCTTACAGCGATTGATGACCATTCTTCCCCAATCATGCTCTGCAGACGCTAGTTTCCAGTCAAGCCAGCCTTCGCCATGGCTTTCAACAAGTCTCAAGGACAGACACTTAAACACGGTGTTTATCTTCCTCAAGATGTCTTCAGTCATGGCCATCCCTATGTTGCTTTATCATGATGTACTGGCCCAAACAATCTTAAGGTACTGATAGGGGACGGGAAGATAGAAGGCAAGCCTGGGATATACACCCGGAACATAGTCTTCAAAGGTGCTTTGTAGACACCATATCTTTTGATCTTCAGGTATTCTGTCGCTTATTCATCTCCAGTTTGTTCACGCCAGCCTCCAACTCACCTCTGCCGTTACTCCATCTGACGTTATTCTGCCAGATGCTCCCCTCTTGGTTGTAACATTTTTTTTTTGTATTTTATTTTGTATCTTATTTTGTATCTTATTTTGAACTACAATAAAGACAACCTTTTATGTCGTTCTCACGAGGCAAAGCATTAAATTTTTTAATAAGGCACAAGGGCAGGCTGTGGCGAAGCCACGGTCTCTAGCTCGTTTTAATATAAGAAAAGAAGATATTAAAGTACTAGTCTTTTGACGATGAAGGTCCTCAACTTGTTTCTTCAGTTCCTGGATCATGTTTTCTTGATCTGCCACCTGCTTTTGAAGTTGTAAAACTTGAATGGAGGTTTCTTGTACTGTATTGGTGTTGGTGCTACTTTCTTCAACTTTTCTTTTTTTTTGACTTATGCTTGAGAGGAGCAGGGATGCTGAATGGAAGAGGAAATTTGATGGGTCCTGACGGAACTTTACTATTAATGGTTGGCATCATTTGTTTCAGATAATCACAGTCTTTAAAGTGCCTCGATACGGATGCTCGGTCTCGAAAGAAATTAGAACACACAAATATAGTTGTAATCGGCCTGTGAATCTCGATGTACCTCCAATAAACGATCGATACCGATATCTGGTTTGCGATAATTAAAGGTGGTTGAACAGTCTTTATGATAACGACCATAGTGGTGTTTCGATGATATATCAAGTTTCTTGTATGCCACATTCGAATCGTCTTTTAGCTCTCGCGACCTGATCTTAGAGAGAGGTAATAATTTTTCGCAATTGTTGTAGTGGCAGCCTTCAGGAACCGCCTCTTCAGAATGATTCATGTTTTTGATTAGAGTTGATGTTAAGTGATTGTTTAATGGTTCAATGAAAGAGATGAAAGTTGATGCAAAAGTAAAGTCTGTCTTTTGAAATGATCTGTTTAATGTTGGGCTGTTTTTTTGACCGCAACAATTCATGCATCCTTTTTTGCATCTCAATCTCTCATACAATTGCGGTGTACATGACTCATTTGCATAAATTTTTGTGCCGCAAACCAACATGTTTTTTGCGTCGTAAACAATCCATATTTGAGACGCCATTACATTTCGATCACGTCATCCAGGACACATAAATAGATGCAGTTTAAAAACAAGCCCTCTCTGATTCATTCAATCCCATCATCTTCTTTAATCCTCATCATGTTTGTTCTAAACGATAAGTATTACTTTATTGATTCAATTATAATCTTGTTCCATCGTTGTGCTGGAAGAATGAAAAGCTTGTTCAATAGGGACCGGTGCTTTTGTCATTTCATTCGAATTGATCAAAAGCTGTATGTTGCGATCCGATGAGTGAGGCAACAAAGAACATTCTTCTAAAAGCACGATATCAGTGAAAAGCTAATTCCACGAGGGATTGGTGTTCTCTGTGCATCCTTTTTGCTCCTGCGAAGGCAATGTAAAGAGAACTAAGGTGGCTTTGTGAAAGCATTGCGCCGAAAAACACTGAGAGATGGACACAACGGTTTTGTCTTAATTCTATTGTTATGTTATATACATACACTAACCTAAAATATAAATCGTCGATGATGAATCAAACTTTAAGAGCACAATTCAATGAATCCCTCTTGATTATATTGAGTGGTCTTGTTAGTCTGAGACGAATTTATTTAAATAAATACGAGCCGGAGACCGTGGCTTCGCCACGGTCGGCTCTTGCCTCGTTAGAAAATTTAATGCTTAGCCTCGTAAGAACAAAAAGAAACATTGTCTACAGCAGCAAAAGGTTTATATTTTGACATCCTATATATTAAAACGAAAGGGTGTCTGCACGTGCCGAAATGTGACTGCATGAAGGCAAAGTGACTGCTACAGAGAGTGGCTTTGGCCCCAATATGGCTCCCTGGGTGGAAATAAAGAGGTATCTTATTTGTAAATGAAAAGAGAAAATAAAGGGTAGTGCTCTCTTCATTGCAAATGTCGACACCAAAAAATTTTTGCTCAAAAAAATTTGACCTCTACTCTGAGTACGGTATACCATACACACTATTAAAGGTCATGTCAACAATATACGATGCGAGAGTATATACATATTATGGGCCTGAACTCTTAGCGTACTTTACCACTCTACACCTTCTTCTATCACATTCCTTGCTTTCACACACTTTACCTTCACATATCTTTCACTCTTCATTTGAAAAGAAAAAAAAAAGATATGTCCCATACGTTCATCTGTCAGACCTTCGCCACCTGCCAAATGGGTCATCAAAGCATGGCAAGTCCGGTGAGACGGAGGTTTGAAGAGAGCTTACAAGGAGGAGAACAGGTGAAGGAATATGACTGGGCTTATAGGCCAATCGGCTCTGCCCTGCTTGCATTGCTTGAATAGGAGATGGAAAAAGGGGAAGAAAGGAAAAATGAGGTAGAAAGGTTTAAGACTGCAGCTGAACTTCGATGTAGTGCTTGCTTGACGTAGGTTGCTCTTGCAGCAAGGATGTGTTTGTCCTATTCTAAGGATAGCCAAGCTCAAGTCCTTGGTCTAACGGCACTCACTCCACCGAGTTGATCTCCAGCAGCCGTCCCGCATACCTCCACATGAACAACTGTTCGCTCTCTTTCAATCCCACAATCTCCCTCACAAAAAGAGGACAAGGGACCTACGTACCATACTGATGCATTGTCTATAATAGAGGTAGCTAAATAGCCAAGTAATGATCATAAAAGAGTACCTCCTACACTACAAAAGTAATGCTAGAAAGCCTATCTAAAACTATGGGAATGATAATTTACATTACGTAGTTCTTCTGCGAGGAACAATCTAGTGTAACAGTTAAATTCTAGCATTTTCGCTTGCATACCCGCCAATGCTAAAATGCTAACTTTATTTTTGTTATTGCATTAGGTGAGGAGAATATCGGTTTATTTCCGAAGGGACTACATATAATTCACGTTTATCCACTGTTCTCTACTTTCGCCACTATTACATTTATTTTTATTTTATTTTATTTTTGGATTTTATTATCTATATTAGTTAAAGATCCCTCTCAATGCTACGCCTTATGGCATGTAGCCTGTGCAGCAGCGACAGACATGGCAAGAGACTATGCCCTCAGAATGTAAGGAATGTAGTAAGGCCTTCTTATCTTTTTGTTTTTATGTTTTTGGAATATATAAACATTAATAGTATTTTCCCAACTGATAAAGACAGAACGATTTTTCCCAATCGCCTCGCTCCCCCTTCCATTCCACGTCTGTATGTGGGTGCAGTCGTCCAGGCCATGTGCGCAGCTCATACCCAAATAATTAAGAGTGTGATTTCGGTATTTAACAATCGTAGAAAACTTTTTTTTTTATTTTATTTTATTTTATTTTTGACATGGTAGTGGTTGGTGCATGCTGAGCTTAAGCTTATATACCTTCTATAACTTGAATAACGCTGCCAGCAACGATGTGCAGAATATTGGGTCAATTCGGAGGCAAAGGTTCCTATTTTATATTCATTAGATTTTGTCATTCTTTTTTTAACCCTCCATCATTATTACTTACCTGCAGGGCGAGCACCGTCAACCAGCTCCTACAGTGTATAAATGCAGTATCTGCAGTTGCCTAGGAGTAGATATAGACCATGCTCAAGTAATAAAGGGTGAGTTTGATTTTCAACGGTTGGATTTTTTCGTCTCAGCAATAGACTATTAATCCTTAGCTTTTTCCTTTTTACTGCTTGCTTTAATAGCGTTGTTAGTAACTCAGTGCAAAATGGCGCTAGGCCTGTGTGCACACGAAGTATTGTTTTGGAGATGGTGGAGATGAAAATGAAAGACCCGTGCAAAGACAAGGGTGTGCTACTTTTTGTTCGGTTTTTTATTGGCTTATTATACTGTATTATACATTGCGTGTACTTAATCTTACACAATTACCATTTACCATTTACCATCGACCTTCAGAATACACGAGCGTAAAGGTGATCCTTCTGTTGAGGATGCTCCTTCTACCGAAGATAATTCCTCTGTCGAAGACAACTTTCTACCACCCGCTAGAAAAAGGTTTCACCAAGATTTCGTTTCGGGTTCCAATATTATGCAATATAGGTACCGGTCAGTTGCCATTATTGCGGTGCCTTCATGTTTATTGAAGAATGTGTGTGCAACGCAGTAGTAAAAGCCGGCCAGAATTTCCTTTATGCTGTGGGAGAGGTCAAGTGGATATTCCTCCACTTAGCCTTGGTTTAACTTCTTGATGGGCAGAGCCGCAAGGTAAGTTATTCCGTTAACACATATAAGCATATAACTGCGCTCTTTCGTTCACGTTCGTGGAAGTGAACCTTGATAAAGACCTTGCGAACAACCTACATGAAGTGTACACGTTTCGTACCATTGGAAGGGTTAGTACTCTGATTGATCCTATGACGCCAACTGAAGGCGCTGCCTCTCTGTTCCTGCAGGCTCATGCTCACATTCATGACCCTGCTCAGCAAGCAAGACTCCGTAATAACCATTTCGGGGATTCCTTGATGAAGGCCTGTTGCAGTAACCACAGCAGCTCCTTGAACTACACTACCCGATAGCCCATACGCTCAAAGATGTCAGAGAATGTGCGCACGAGGATATCATGCGGCTGAAGGTCGTCATCCGTGCTGGGCCTCAGCATGAGGGGAGAGGGCAAAGGCGAATGCAGTACAGGCCATCTCATCAACTGGAATCGTGCTATTGATGGCTGGCGCCAGTAGTAAGGTTTCTCAGCAAGGCATCATAATTGAAAGCAGAGCCAGTGGTTTGAAAAAAACCAGTGAGGTTCATCAAGCTGAAGGCGGATGCATATATCGGTACAATGGGTGCAATTGAGCTAAATCTCAGACCTGAGCTATAGTTGCGGAACATTGTCTCCAAGGAATGGTTTGTAAATAAGCATCCTCTCATTTACTACCGTATCTTCTAGATATTCTTCCTTATTTTGTATTTTATTTTTTGTTTATTTTACTGCTGTATACAATTTACCGGATTTTGCTTTATTGTATTTCTATATAGTTTGTAGTTTTTAAAATGGTAAAAAAGATCCCGGTCAATAAAAATGTTATAGATGGTAACGCTTTATTTTGTCTTCATAAAATTTCTAACGAGGCAAGAGCCGGCCGTGGCGAAGCCACGGTCTCCGGCTCGTATTACTTATAAAATTGCTGTTTAATTTGTCAACAGGCGCACAATACCAGTGGCGATCTTTTTGTTTTCCTCAGAGACCTTGCTTCCCAATATTGTGGCTAATGTTTGTTTAGCTCTGCATTACCGATCACTGTAATCTCGTCTACGGAATCTGAAAATAGAGCTTGAATTGCCTCGAGAGACGTACGAAAGTCTTGATTAGACGTGCATTGTTCGAGACTGACTCTAATGACACTTCTTGCAAGCTTTGCTTTTTCTTTGTTAATAATCACTGCTTGACCAATTTTATTGAAAAGAAATCCAGCACCAAATGCCCTCCCACGGCCACCTCCGGAATTGGCAATGGTGAAGATTGTGTATGGCTGATAAAGTATTGAGTTTGTCATTGGCCCAGAGCACCGAGAGAGGTCGTATGTGTTAAACCGATCGAACTTTGTTCTAATCTGCCGTAGACACTCCACTCCCATATTTCTTGTCACCCTGCAAAGTGATTTCTTCATTTCCTTGCAGAGCTTGACTCGCTCAGAGTCAAAGAAAATACGGATTTTTGAAGAATCTTTTTCAGAGATGATGAAGATGTGGGTATCACCTCCCACAGAAACAGCTGATTTTCCTTCTGGATCAAGACGAACACAACTTGTAACCAGGATGTCGCATGTAAAAGTGCTGATGACGAGCCGCTTGCCATCTTTTTCATGCAGGGTGACTGGATGGATGCCCTTGTATTTGTCTTTTCGGACTGTTTCTGAAAGCGATGTGTCCTTTGGCACACCCTTCACTGTTGCTGTTTGTTCGGAATGGCAATCAACCATTCTAGTCCGGCCATAGGATTCAACCCCGTTGATTAAGATGCAGCTTTGTTCACTTTGTTCATGATCGCACCAGAGAGGATGTGGCTCGAGATCTGCCGTGCTTGCGGGTAGGCTGTCCAATTCAGGTTCAGCAATTTGGCTGTCTTCTTTGACAGCTCGATGTAATGGCGTGTTGATAAAGAACCAATGAAAGGTGACTTTTCAAGGATGTCTTTAATAGGGGTTGCAATGGGGGGGAGCATTTACGCATTGTTGGGTGTCCCATGCTGCTGCGCTTTCAGAAGCTTGAGTTGGTCGATTGATGGGAGTGAAAGTTGGCTGGCTTGGTAGTTTGTTGAAGATCTCCTTCCTGATCATCACATTGTACTCTTTCCCTTCCAGAGCAATTCCGATGGGATATTCACCAACTTTGTCTGCAAAATAGAGTGCCTTTTGCAGTGATAGTGATGAAATTGGTGATGCTTCAATAAGAGCCTCGTTGAATGATCTCCAGACTTTTGGACTAGGACTGGGATTGACAACACTTGCTTCCACTTGTGTTTGAATGTAATCGAGGCAGGCTTTGCTCTTTCGTCAAGAATGTGTTTTCGAAATCCTCATTTTGTGTCACATATTTCCTGCAACGATATTGGCCTTCACTCCGCTGAATAATGACGGATCCTCCATCACTGAAATAAATAATGCCCCCTGGAGTGCGCCAATCGTGAATGTGGCTGTTAAGAGATGTCGAGCTTGCGAATTCTTTCTTGCAAATGTGGCATTCTTGTCGTGTCTTTTGTCTTTTTACGTCTCTTTCTTCGTCTCTTTCTTCGTCTCTCTCTTCATCTTCTCCCTAAGACGATTTCGTCATTCTTTGAAGATCGTTCCTAAAAAAAAAGAAATTTTTAGTCAGGCATCAGCAATGAACTAAAAAAAAGACAACGATGGATCGCGATGGGCAAGCTAAAAAAAAAAAAAAAAAAAAAAAAAAACTGAAGAAAAGACAGTAATAGACAATAAGACTGCAATGGACAGGCCAAGGAAACAAAAATTACATTTCTGCAATTTAAGATGCACTTGTTTTTGGCTGAAGGGAGTGGGCAAAAAAAAAAAAAACCAAAAAAAAAAGAGTCTGGGCAATGAAGACAAAGTTGTAGAAGTTGGAGAGTCGAAGAAAGAGAAAAATGAATAAGACGACAAAGAGAGAAGAAAGGTGAAGAAAGTGAAAGATGCGGGAATGAAACGAAGAAAGAGAGTGGATGGCATTGAGAACAGGGGGGAACAAATATCGTGAGGAAAAAAAAAGGTCCCTGAAAATGGTCGCTGCGGGATGACGTTTTTTTTTTTTTTCTTTTTTTTAAGGGTGCTTACCGTCTCAACGTAGTCTCCGTCAGTAGGCTCTGGCTTGCACACGCTACAGGATTGCTGTTCTTCATTGTTGGTACGCAACCGTGCTGCACACAAACCCATTCAATCGCATCCAAATCCACAACCAAGCCTGCTTTCATCTTTATTGTGATTGCATCCTCAAAGTAGAGAACACGACAGCAAACACAGCAAAAAAAATCAGGACTTCGTTGGGCGTGTTCTTGATATTGCCTCAAATTTCGTTCGACAATGACAGGCATATGACGGCCTTCAGGCATAATGTCCCTAAGGAATGGGCCTCATCATCCAGCTGCTTCTGAAGCAACCGCTTCTCCTCTTCTCCATCGTATGCCTGTACGTTTGCTGCAGCATCCACACTAAGCAAGGATTTCGGTAGAGAAGTAAATTATATTCAGCGGTTTGCACAAAGAAATACTTGCAGGCTGAACAATAAAAGTCACAAGTCTGACGTACATGTTTTCTTCCCACTGATCATACTCATCCATGTCATCTAAGTTGAAGTGAACCTCTTCGTCGTACAAACTATCATCATGAGAAGTCAAATCGAGAAGCTTAGAAAAAAATAAAAATAAAAATAAACAGTATAATAAATAAAATAAAATAAACAATAAGCTCATTGCTTTGCTGAACCAGCTCTTTAGCATTAAAAGATACTTACTTTTCAACTGTCCCAGCTATGCCAAATTTCGCTAGGTAATGTAGCAGGAAGTAAGGCTTAAAGACTATTAATGTTTCCATTTTAGTGTCATACACAAGAAATAAAAGTACTATTACTACCGCTACTGAAGCTCCTTACTCTTCGGCGTTATCAGAGCGCCAACTAAAAGGCCCTGATGAACTAGACAATTGAATAAAATAAGTGAGCAACAAGTTGAAGGATAACATAAATGAAGTACAGCGCATAACAGTTTCGACAAGCATGCAAAAAGTAATGCCATACTCAGAGCGAGGTCCTTGCCAAGGACTAGACGAAGTCTCTTCATTGCTGGAGCCAAAGGAAACATCGTGCCCTTCACTAGACTGAGGGAAACGAGGATCTGACCAAGGACACTCAAGGGGGGTGATGATGGAGGATCAGACATGGCGATGTTGCAAGATGGGCTTTCAAAGATAGAAAAGCGGGACATGTTGAAGGGAAAATCACGAACATCGACCTGGAAGTCTGTGGACACTTCAGAACAACCGCCTACAACAGCGACCGTGGCACGAGCATAAACTCCCGTTTGGTTGTATCCACCGCTAGACCACCCACCGATGAAGAGGACTCCACCCCCATGAAGGTATACGACAAACCCGTGAAGGAGACTCATCCATCGACCACTGCGAAGAGACTGGTGGAAGCCCCACTCCAGCAACTGGTAAGGAAAACTCTCTAGCTCTCTATTGCTTATTTATACATTTGATTAATTACACTGCTTACTCCATTTAGCCACTATCTCAGATCATCCCAAGACAGGGCGCACTAGAGCAAGCCGTAAGTTCTAGCACATTTAACAACAACGATAAAAATAAAAAAGAGTTCTTAAATGACTTTGCTTAGCAACAGCCTCTAAGTTGTCCATTTAAACTTTCTCCTTTTCTGTTCTACATCTAGCCGTCACTGATAAAATCAAAATCCAAAAGAGGAGGTGCGCGCCAAGGTGCCGGAAGACCAAGAAAAGCAGCCCCAGAAGTAGAAGCAGAAAATCACTAAGCCACAGAGGCAAAAGACCACACAGAAACAGAAACAGAAACAGAATCAAAAGCGGAAGAGGACAAGATCAATGAAGACAGCTCACAAGAATCTGATTACAAAAAAAAAAAAAAAAAGAAAAAAAAGCCGAGACTAGAAGCGATTAAAAGAATTAAAAATTAATAGCAATAAAGATGAATGAACTTTGCTATTAAAAAAAGAGTGAACAACAAATGCAGCCATGAAAGAGCCTCACAGTTTGTCCTTAAAGTCTTCTGTCGTCTTGATACTCTAAAGACATCTTCATCATATTCATTCAGAACGTATTCAAAAAGATTGAATTCAAAAAGACAATGCAGAAAAGCTGGATTGTGGCTACGAAAAAGATCTGAAACAAATATCTATGTCACGTCACTTCTGTCTTACATTAATTCACTCGCCAAAAACTGGGGCCTGGGGCCCGAGATTTCAATAGCTTTGAGGGAACACCGAGCTCTCACAGCTAGTCAAATCTGAGGTGATACTTCATAGTCGAATAAATAAATGAAAATCAAAAAAGATGCCAGCATGGAATAAAAGTTATGGGGTCTTTCAGGAATAACTGGCTTGTGGTAGCCAAGCGTTCATAGCGACGTTGCTTTTTGATCCTTCGATGGCGGCTCTTCCTATCAAGCGTTCTAGAAAAATTTTGTTTACGCGTTTAATACAGTGTTTTTAATTGTTTTCGCCATTTTAAAAAATGGATTCGCTATTTTCAATTTGAGTTTCTCCAAAGAAAAACAAGATTTATCCAATTTAAGCTAATAAAATTATCCCACAAGTTATCCGAATGTGTCTAAAATATTATCAAGTTCTCCAAATTGATAACCGAACCGATTATTAGAATTATCCAAACATCATGTCTTTATTAGCAAGATAGGCGACCAATTTGAGTAACTTTACATACATATTATCCTAAATATTAGCGTTTTTTTTTTTTTTTTTTTTTTTTTTTTTTCACTGAACTCTCACAGACCCTATTGTATATCGCGGAACACAGAACAAATGTTAATAACCAAGAAGATGAAATATTTTTAGGGTATGAAACTGACAAGATCACACATACACTGGAGCTATCATCCCAGTTCAAGACGGCTTTCTGAGCCTCGAGGTCAACGTAGAACTCTTCGTCATCGGTGTCAACCAAGTTGATAATTTCAGGTTGGTTCTTGCTAGATGCCATAGTAAATGTGGTTTTGGTGATTTGGAGTGTTGAGGTGAGCTTGATTGAAAAATCTAAGCGGTGGTAACTTTGGTTTTTTTTTTCTTTGAACCCCACTTCCTTTTATACATGGGTCCCTCAATGCAAGGAAACTACCATTGCCTTCTGGTATTGTGCCAACGCGCCAACGCGCCATGCTCTTTACAACGCGTTTTTCTTTTTTTTTTTTGAATTCCAAGAAAAAAATTCAACGCGGTGGATAATTTTCAGGACGCGCCGATAAAATCACAAGGTTCCATGGTTGTTTCCGCATGACCTTCTGGAATGTTTGAACTGCATGGTTGGACAAAATTTGTAAACACTCGGATAAATTTCTCCGCCCTTTTCGGCTAACTTTTTAACTTAACTTTGGACAACTTTTTTATTCATTGGAGAAATGTAAAATAAACATAGAGAAACTTTATTTTTACTTAGCGAAAACAATTAAAAACGCTGTACGTTTATGCGCTAATACGTTTACGCTTAAAGTTAAGGTTGTATTAAACAGCTTGTGCGTTAATAATTTTTTGTGACTTGGTTCTTCTGTTAAGGGGCTAGTCACTATTTTCTTTTTTTCATTATCACAGCGGGAGCCGACCTATAATGTGTCACTTCTTTTCTTTATTAATTCGCCGAAAATCCATAGTCACTAAATAAAAATAAACAATTTTTTTTTTTTTTTTTTTTTTTTTTTGCTACAAAACTATGGTGCCACAAAGATTGATCAGCATCTTCGACTTGAGCTCCGGACCAGACTAGCTTAGGGAGAGGAGGGTGGGACATTATAGGTCGGCTCCCTCGGATAATATGCTTTTCTCTTCATATTATTCGAGAACGCTGTGTAATTATCACAGCGGGAGCCGACCTATAATGTGCATCCAGAGTTTTGTCCCAGGGTGATCTCAGTAAAATTGGTTCTTGTCTGACTAGCCATGCGGTAGAAATATTGGAAAGTTTCCGGAGAAGACCAATTACCATGAGCGATGATGTCGTCAATCGATACCCCTGCTGTAGCTGCAGCTGTAGAGCCGAGTGCGCGTGGCTTGATACGTCGGGAAGCCTTTTCCACTTCTGGGATCTTAGTTGAGATCGAGTCCATGTGATTGGAAATGGTTTCTGCTGATACTGCTCGATTCAAATATTTGGAATGTCGGATGAGAGGTTGAATTGTCAGACTGTCATCCTTCGGATGTGGTACCTCCAGTGGATGATCTGTTAATCTTTGCAAATACGCAGCAAATGTATTCACAGGGCACAGTTTCGGATCACTGTTGGAACGAATACAAACTGTCTTCTCGATGCGGTTCCCAAGTCGTTTCTCTTTGGGAATAGGAATGAAGAGCATGAGTTGGCTTGTGGTCCATGTAGTCTTGGTCAGGTCTATACATCGAATGTCGTCTGGACGAAGGTGAAAAATATTTAGACAGTAGTTATCAGAAGCTAAGATAAGTGAGAATAAGATGTGGGTCCACACACCACATCCATGGGGTATTTATTCATTTTCTGGTAGAGAGACTCGTACCAAGTAACTACATATCTATCTAGAAGCGACATGGGATTATTCAGGAACCATGTCGTGTTTTGTCGCGTCTTTAGTGACGCGTTATTATTATTATATTTTTCTTAGCGTATTAATTTTGGGAATTCCCCTAGTGTGTTCCTAGTGTGTTTTTAGTATTTTTCTTAATCTTATAGCTGGGCCGTTATTATCTTGTATATTGAAATATACAACAACTTTCTCTTTTATTGAGGAATAAAGCATAACATTCCAGGCACCAAGCGGGTTGAGAACGGACGCGAAGGATGATCGCGATTGCTTAGTTCTTTATTTTATGTAAGCGCATAAAAAAAAAATTTTTTTTTTTTTTTTTTTTTTTAGGAACAAAATAATTTGCTCAAATATCCGAGCATCATGTTTCTCTCTCTTCTTTTTTTTTTTTTTTTTTTTTTTTTTTAGATTCTTACACATGCATGAATCAGGTTCAAAGATTGGTTCAAATCAGTGGCACTTATAGGACACGATTATAACTCACAATGATGATTGGTTTGAAAGATCAGCCAGGATCAGATCATGTGGAGAAAAAGATTTGTAATGTCAGGAACGAATCAGGATGAAGGAGAGTTGTAATGAGAAAAGCAATGAGGAGAATCAACTGGGGGTCATTGTGCTTTTCATTCCTTCATTCCTAAAACATTGTTGTCACTCAAACTCTTCTCAACACAAAGCAGGCTTTCAAATCTCATTTTATCATTCTTTGCATTGCTTGAATTATGTCTTTCTCCAACAACACTGCTTCTTCTTCCACCAGCAAAGTTGCTGGCAAAAAACGCGCTCGTGAGGAATTGGAAAGTGATAAGAGCGCAAGTCGCCAGTCTTCACCTTCTACTGATGGTCCACCCGCTGACCCAGTGTTTTCTTATGTACCGTGGGAGCGTCCTACCAGGGATGGGCGCAGGATCAAGAAGCTCTTTTTGGAGAGTGAACACTGCAATTTCAGGGCGCGGACAGAGAGTCCACTCTATCAGGATGGGGATGAAGTGCGACCTCGCAAGTATCTTTACCTGGAGGGAGGACAAAAACTTGACTTATACAGTAGACCTATAAGCCGTGACAATTTTGACGTATTCTGGGTACATGAGCCATCGTTGTTCAAGCAACTGAGACGTCGTAACCTGATGTTGGTCAAGGAGGCGGACTGGCAACGGTTAGAAGCGTCAGCCAAGGCATCACAACATGCACAGGTTGCTGTCACTTCAGTAGCAACGGAGACGGAAGTTGTGACAGAAACGTCAAGCAGTTGTCAAGAGTCAACGTTGGGGATGTCAGAACGACAACTCCGAAAGGTTCTCACTGAATTAGAGTCAGTTGATGTAGAGTCGCCTCGTAGCAAGCTTTTGCAAGAAAGAGCAGCACTGTTGTTAGATGTGTGTAGAACCTTTAAACCAGTTGCAGAATAAAGTGTTGTTTTCAAAATACATTTGTTGTTGGTTTTTTTTTTTTTTTTTTTTTTTTTTTTTTGATGCATGCCAAAATCTCATTCATTCATTGGTTCATTTGTTCTGATCATCACGCCATTTGAAATGACTAATGGCAATTGAAGAAAAAGGATGTGAATGGATGCTTGTGGGCATAAATTGATGGCCATTTCGTTTTCATTCCTTCATTCTTCATTTCGCCATTCTCACACTTTCAGCTAAACTTCAAGACACTCATATTCCTGTGAACAATTCCATTATACACATATTCAGAATGTCTTCCAAGAATGTTCCTCAAAGTTCACCTTCAAGTTCACCTGTTGAACTTCACTTTTCTTTCACTAGTGGGGAGAATAGTTTTGAGCACGATGATAGAGATCCTGCCTTCAGACAAGCCGACCGTCATGCACTTTGGAGAGAGAGAGGGGATCCTCGTTATCGTGATCGCTCTCCGTCTCTAGAGATTGGTGGGTCTATTGTGACCGAGTCATCCACAGGGACTTCGCTTGGTGTGCGGAAGCGCGGTGAGGAGGATGATGGAGAATCTGAACGTGCGCAGCATCATCAGCGCCGTAAAGTATTGGAGGAAGTAGACACGATGGTCTTGGACATCGTAGCTCTTTACAAGATGGTGCGTGAGCAAGGAGAGATAATTGCAAATCTGACCAAGCAGGTGGAGGATTTGCAGAAGCAAGTAGGACGGTCAAGGAGATACAATCTGCGTCCTACTTCAAGTAGAAATAGCAACCGTAAAGAGAAGAAATAAAGCTTTGCGATTGTTGATTTGTATGATTGTTAAATTTTTTTTTTTTTTTTTTTTTTTTTTTTTTTTTTATGGTTATTGCTATTACTCTTATTGTGATTGTTACTGTTATGGATACTGAGGTGGGTATAAATAAGGCGGTCGTGATATATCTAACGACGCATGCGTCGACGTTTAGGTCGAGAGGTTTTTCTGACAGATGTATGGTCATCAGACGTTGGCGACACATTCTGCACCGAGTCAACAGGTTCTGATAGGGAATTATGAGGTCGTTTGGGCTAGCATTAACAATCTTAGAGGCGTGATGATTGGCCCAATATTCAGTTATACATTGTCGTTCAATGAAGTGTTCTTCAGGTTCCCATGTATTGAGATCATGTGGATAATTTTTCCATTTGACGAGGTATTCATACTCATGAGGGGACGAGGCATTTTGCCGATGATCAATTATAGTTTCCACTTCATATGTGTCCGTGTCTTCAAAGTCATCAAGTACGAGTTTCAATTGAGATGGAGCATAATGTCTGGCCAGAATTGCACCTGTG